GAGGATCCCCTGAGCTTTTTGCACTCCTGGCACTCAGAGAGAGTGAAAAGACTGGGGAGACCCCCTGAGATAATAGGAGGAAGGAGGGAGAGGAGAGCTGACCCCCAAGGAGCCTAGGTCTATGCTTAGGGCCTCTGGTTATCCAGCCAAGTGACCCTGAGTGTCCCTCCACTACTTCCACAGAGAGGATCCAAGTTTCACAATGTCCAAATCTACCTTGTAGCCTTTGAAAAAATGACTGTGCAGTATCAATAAATGCAGATTCAATCCACTTTCTTTTGGCCTTTATGTCTGACATTAGAATCAACTGCTCCCAAAAAGAAGTGAGTAACATGCATTACAACCTTAAGTAAGAGGCTTACTTTGGAGACCTCAGCCAACCCGGACCTGGGCTGAGGTTTTCTCAGAGTTGTGACCATGACTTATTTCTGCTTCAAGTTGTGCTTGGACACTGTTTGAGAGAGAGGCATGTTTTCTAACATTCCTTTCTTCTCCATATTGAGAGCAAATACTCCAAGAAGAATCCAGAAATTACCTGACCCCACGGTAAGATCTTTCTGACTGTGCCGTAGAAAATTACGCAAGTTCTGCCATATTTTTAAGTAGCGCTGTGAGTTCAAAAAAGAAACAGCACAGGGGCCAGCTAGGGACACCAGGATGGGTGGCAGCATGTGTGAAGGTGGCTTAGACAGTGCTATGCTCACTGTGAGTCAGGAGTGTCAGCAGAATGCCATAATAATTAATTTTATTCGAGACTGCATTAAAAGAAGTAGAATGCTCAGAGTAAGGAGGTGATGGCTCTGCCTGACTTTGCCCAGCAAAGTCACAGGCTATACGATAATCATACAAAAGTTATATTTCTATGTACTAATAATGAAAATGCATACATCACCTGGGGGGTTGGGGATGGAGGAGGGGATAAGGGGATAAATGGTGATGGACAGAGATTTAACTTGGGGTAGTGAACACACAATGCACTGTACAAATGATATGTTGTAGAATTTTGCCCCTGAAACCTATGTAATTTTGTTAACCAGTGTTACCCCAATAAATTCAATAAAAAGAAATAAAAATGTAGGCATTGAAATTAAAAATACAACACCACTTACAATCACTTAAAAAACTGAGATGTAAATTTAACAAAACATGTACAGAACTTGTATACTGAGAACTATAAAATGCTGATGTAAGAAATAAAAAAAAATCTAAACAAATGGAGAGACATATCATGTTCATTGTTGGAAAACTCAACATTTAAAGATATCAATGCTCCCCAAATTGACATAGGGGATTAATGTGATTCCTATCAAAATCCCAGCAAGAGCTTCTGTTGATATAGACAAGATTATTCTAAAATTTATGTAAAGGCAATGAATGGAATTAGAATAAACAAGTTTGAAAAATAAAAAGTATACCTTAGTCATTTGGGGCTGCTATAACAAAATACCATAGACTGGATGGCTTATAAACAATTTTCAAAAATTTAAAGATTTTCTTATTGATTTTTAGAGAGAGAGGAAGAGAAAGGGAGAGAGAGAAACTTCAATGTAAGAGTGAAACACCAATCAGCCGCCTCTTGCAAGGGATCTAGCCCGCAACCCAGGCATATTCCCTGACCGGGAATCAAACCGGCAATCTATTATCTAACCAACTGAGCAACACCAGCCAGGGCAACAATAAAAATTTATTTCTTACAGTTCTGGAAGCTGGAAGTCTCAGATTAGAGTGCCGGCATGGTCAGGTTCCGGTGAGGGCCGTCTTCCAGACTGCAGACTGCTGACTTCTCATTGCATCCTCACATGGTGGAGAGAAGATGCGAGAACTCTCCAGGGTCCTTTTATAAGGTCACTAATATCATTCATGACCTAATTACCTCCAAAGACCCCACACCTCCTAATACCCTCACATTGGGGTTAGGATTTCAACATATGAATTTTGAAGGGACAAAAACATTTAGCCCATTGCAAAATGAGAGGAATCATTTACCCAGTTTTTAAGACTTCTTATATACTGCAGTAATCAAGACTGTGGATTGGCTGAGGAACAGACTGTACCAATGAAAAAGAATGGAGAACCCCAAAATAATAATAATATTATTTATACAAGAATAATTTAAAATGGATTATGAACTGAAACATAGAATGTAAAACTATAAAACTTTTAGAGAAAAAAACATGGTAGAAAATCTTTGGGATGTAGGACTAAGCAGGCAAAAACTTCTTAGACTTGACACCAAAAAAAAATCTATAAAATTAAAAATTGCTAAATAGGACTTAAAATTAAAAACAGTTGTCTGTGACAGACCCTATTAACAGGAGTAAAAGACAAGCTGCAAACTGGGACAAAATATTTTCAAACCACAATTTGACAAAATGCTTACATCTAGAATATACACATATATCCTCCAAACTTAACAGTACAAAAACAAACAATCCAACTATAAAATAAGCAAAAGATATACTGCACTGAAGAGGATATACCCATGGCAAATAAACATGTGAAAAGATGAGTAACATCATTAGCCATCAGGGAATTGCAAATTAAAACCACAATGAAATATCACTGCATGCCTACCTCAATGACTAAAATGAAAAACAATAGTGACAACACCAAATGCTGACAAGGAGCCAGATAAACTGAATCACTCATACACTGCTGGTGGGAATGTAAAATGTACTGCCACTCTGGAAAACAATTTGGCAGTTTCTTGTAAAGCTAAACATGCAACAACCACAGGACTCAGCGATTGCACTCCTGGGCATTTATCCCAGAGAAATAAAGACTTTTGTTCACACTAAAGTGTAATAGCCAAAAAAAAAAAAAGGAACCAAATTGGAAAAAACTCAGATGTCTTTCAAAGGGTAAATAGCTAAACAAACATCCATATTATGGAATACTACATAGCAAAAAAAGAACGAGTTATCAATAAACACAACTTGGATGAACCTCTAAGTATTATGCTGAGTGAAAAAAAAGCCAATCCAATAGGTTACATGCTGTACGATTCCATTGTATAATATTCTTGAAACAATTATAGTAATGGAGTTCAGCTTAGTGGTTGCCAAGGGTTAAAGAGAGGGTGCAGGCGGGAGTGAAGCGGGTGTAGATATAAAAGCACAACATGAGGGAGACTTGTGGTGATTTAAATGCTCTTGACTATATCAATGTTGCTCTCTCAGTTGTGTTGTTATACTATTGTTTTACAAGATGTTACTAATGGAGGAAATGGTACACAGGATCTCTCTGTATTATTTCTTACATGTGCAAGTGAATCTACAATTATCTAAAAATATTATGTTTTAATATAAAATATGTCAGGTTAATAAAATAAACCTTGTATAGCTGTAATACTATCAGACAAATACACTTCATGGTGGGGAGGGGGACCCTCACTAGAAGTATGGTGGGTCACTTTGTAATAAAAACTTTTCAATCACCAGGAAGACAATGATTCTAAACTTGTATGCACCAAACAACATAGCTTTAAAATACAGAAAGCAAAAGTTGGCAATACTAAGAGAGATTTTAAGAAATACATCATCAATGTGAACACATCAATGTGAACACATCAATGTGAACAAAAATATCAGCCAATATAGGAAATACTTAAATAGCTCAATTAATAAGCCAAAGGTCATTTATGGACTATGGTACCCAACAATAGGAAAAAACACATTCTAGCCTCCCAACTTCTAGTCCAGTTCTCATTTTTCTACACCTGGTTCTGTGACAGAGCTTCCTTTAAGTTCCATTCTCCTGTGCATGAATGGTTTGTTAGATGTTTCAGGTGAAGGTTGCTGAACCCAGGACTGCCAGGGTATGCAACTCCAGGGTCACCATGCACACAACTGTCACCTGGAAGAAAACTTCTGAAAAAAGAAATTTGTCATTGGGTTCAGGACAAAACGATGGTCTATGACAAAAAAATAATTATACAGGAGTTTAAAAAGTTAAAACTTCTAAATCTGAACCATCTTCCAACATCTAGTCCATCTCTTTAGAATAACCATTGTCATGGCCCAAATTTTACCCTTTACAAAACATCTTCACTTCCAAGGTCCCAGCTCAGTGCAAAGGGTCCTGGGAAATGGAGTCACTGGCTAGCCAGCCACTTACCAGTGATGACTCAACACTGTGCAAGCAGGTGGACCCATCTTGGTGGACACCTAGCTGCCTGAGGTCCTGTAAGATACTGTCAGCTCACATCTCAGGTGTCTATTTTCACCCCCAGAATATCTTCTCCATAGCACCCTATCATCCAGGCCAGCTAACCACGCCTCTGAGGTAGCCAAAAAGGAGCAGAGTAGGGAAACTCTTGTCTACAATGGGTTCTCAAATCAGCATGCCCACCTCACCCCTCCCACCCTTCGTCATTAGACAAATGGTAAGAGCAAGAGTGGAGGAAGGACGTACTTAGGATAACCCACCAAGTCAGGGGCAGTACAGACTCTGAGCTGCCTGCACTAGGCTGGCAGCAGTGGGTCCCATCCACCCACCTTCCATGGAAGCAGCCCAGAAAATGAGTGCTGATGCCAACACCCTGCTCCTGACACCTTTCCTTGGATCTAGGCCTTTTCAAAAGGAGCATTTCAAATAGAAGCCATCAACACTTACAGAGGGTGGGTCTTAATCCATACGGGATCATTAGCTTCACCCAAGTGATGGCACATCCATCAGCACCTCCCATTCTCCCACCAATTATCTATCTGCTAATTACCTGGGATTATGAATTGACACGGAGCGACATGGTCATTAATCACATATTTGCACGGCTTATTCATGTTAGTGGGGCTGCTCAGTCTCACCCAGTCAAATTGGACACGCCCACAATGCTGCACAACACATTTACATCGACTTGGCTGTCAGCAGCCAATAAAGGACTGCAGGATGTGTTTACTTCCAAAGGGACTTGGCTCTTGGCAAAGCTTTCTTGCAGGCACGCTGGGTATCTTGGCTTTCTGGCAGTACCGACCTCGGCTTAACTCAGAGCACGCATTCAATCATTTGTCACACATTTATTAGCTCAAGCATGGTAGTAGGCAAGGCACTGTCCCCAGGAGGTTTTACATAGATGAATGAGACACTGTTCCTACAACTTCAGAAGTTTATTTCCAGTCAAGGAAACATGCAAGCAGAGAGAGCTAAGAGCAATGAGAGAGGGAAAAGCACTACGCTGTGGGAATGCAACATCAGGAGAGATGTTTGGTCTGAGAAATCAGGGAAGGTGGCACAGAGGAGGTGACATTTTCAGCATGGAGCCAGACAGAGAAAGGAATTCCAGGCTGAAGGAACTGCAACAGCAAGGGCACCGAGATGTGCGAGGAGAATGGGAAGTGATCTAGTGTGGATGGCACACGTGCCACAGGTGGGAAGGAGGTGGCCTGCTAGACTGGGTCACATCATGGAGAAATGAACTGTTCTGCTAGGTTTGGAAACGCTTCTTCTGGGTATGAGGAATAAGAAAGGAATTTTGTTTTGGTGTGTGGTATGGGTGGGCATGTTTTCATACACTTTTTATTGAAATATAACATACACAAAATGCAAATATTTTCACAAACTGACCACACCTATGTAAACAGCAGCCCGATAAAAATACAAATCATTCCTAAAACCCCTTTGCACTCTTTCAGAATCTCCTCAATCCCAAGGGAAACTGCTATCCTGACTTTAACACCACAAATTAGTTTTCCCTACTTTTTGTATTTGGCTTCTTTCACTCAGCATAATGTTTCAAGACTCATCTATGCTGCTATACATAAATTCAGTTTGTTCTTTATCATTGCTAATATCGCATTTCAAGAATATATCACAGTTATTAATGAGCATGTGTAGTTTCCAGTTGGGGGCTGTCAACCTTCTTGCACGATGATCTTTGGTGCTTTCATGGATGTACATCTGTTGGGTACACATCTAGGAATGAAAATGCAGGATCATAAGGTATGCACATAACTACTTGAATAGACACTGGTAGTTTTCCAAAGTTTTTTGTCCATTTACACACTCACCAGGAATGCATGGGAGTTCTGGTTGCTCTATCCTCACCAACACTTGATATTGGCGGTCTTTTTATGTTTTAAGCTTGTTTGTTTGGAGGGGAGGGACACAATCCCACTTAGGTTGAAGGACAGTCACTCTGGCAGCAGCATGGGGTGTGGGGGTTGGGAAAGGGAGACGGCATAAAGGGATCAGTCACGAGGCCAGGCAGCAAGGCCCAGGAGAGGGGTCACGAAACCGGTGGCAATACAATTGCTATAAAAAAGGCTGACTTTTTTTTTTTTAAAGACACTGTCTATGCTGTACACCTGAAACGAATACAAAATAATATTGAATGCAAACTGTAATTGAAAAATAAAGTTTTAAAAAAATAAGACCCACGGGAGGCACTGTAGGGGTGAATTACACAGGGCAAGGACACAAAATAGAAGTGGACTTAAGGTGGAGACGGAGGACAGTTTCCGTATGGGTGGCTGGCTGGGTGAGGGGTGTCATGTTTGAAGGCAGGAGAAAACATCCTAGTTCGGTGCACACTGTGTTTGAGATGTCGGGTGATGAGATGGAGATAATCCAATAAACTGTTGGTTATACGGGTCTGTTGCTAAGGAATGAGGTCAAGGCTGAAGACACTGAGCTAGGAGTTACCATCACAGAGGTAAGGGTTAAAGCCAGGGGTGCGGTTGAGATTTCCCAGGGGGGTGGTGTGGAGCGAAAGAGAGGAGAGTTGAAGACCAGCCGCCTACTTTTAGGGGAGGAGGGGATGAGAGACAACATCGCTTCTCTCTGAAATGCTGGCAGGGGCTGTGAAGCGTGAGTCAGACCCTCTGAGCCCCAGCAGCAGCCTGGGGTCCATCTCACCAGCCACAGTTTTCTCCTGAATGAACTTGCATCACCAACCTCAAAGCTGCATTGCAAAATCCGCATCAGATTGCTAACCTCTGGCGGCGTCCTAGGGACAATGGGCACCAAAGACTCACCACATCTTGGGCCTTGGAGTCGTCCTCCCCACCTCCACACCACCTCTGCCAAGTAGTTCTCCAGCGCCCCAGGCAGGGAACTCAGAGCTTCCCACGGCAGCCCATTCCACCGGGAGCCAGCGAGGATGTCAGAAAACCCTTCTTACAAATGCAGTCTTGCGATGCTGGAAGTCAAAAGAAAAGATAACGACCCTGGGTGGAGTGAGATGCAAGGTCTCGGCACTCTGGAAAATCTGTTTCTGTTCATCTACCTGCCAGCAGCTTCCCTTTGGGCCCGGGTCATGGCGCTGGCCTCCCCACAGGAAGCTGCGGTGATTTCACCGCCATTCGCACACTGGATGGGAATGTGGTCATGGCTGCAGGCGCTCCTCCAGCTTCATCACGCAGTGAGTGCTGCCCTGGCCCCAGGCCAGGCTCTCAGGACTGAAGCGTGCATGCTCCAGCGCAGACCCAGCGGGCTGGACACGCGGGAAGAACCAGTGGCTGCCAGCTGAGAGCGAGCCCCCTGCGAGCAAGGTGGGCACAATGCCATCCCGTTCAGCTTTCCCCCCTAAGTATTTGCCTGCACCCGGCCCCGTGTGGCTCTCTGGAGAAGAGGGAAGACAGACTGGACTATGAAATGGCTCCCACCCTTGGGGACATTGGTGGAAGCAACAGGCATGCAAGAAGGGAAAGTGGTTGGAACTTTTTTTTTTCCTGTCTTTAGGTTTCCAAAATACCCACCTAAATAGCCTCTGCATGATCTGCAACATGGAGATAGGGTGTCTGAAAAGACATCAGAGGAAAACTGTCCTTGAGCCTCAATGGAAAGGGCCTTATCCGCCACTGTTAACGACTGACACAGCATAAAACCCCAAAGTGTTCACCTGTTTGCCAACTAAAAAGACACATTGCTTTCTCCTGACTACAAGACATCCATCCCAATAGGAGACCTCAGACTGAGAATTCTTAGGAATTTTCCAGAATCTGCAGACTTTGGAAGTGGGTAGCTTCTATCCAAGATGACAGAACAAGATTGATTTTCTGATTCTACAGAGTCCTTTTGCTTTCCCTGTTTTCCCACTCCACTTGCCTACTGTTATAAATTGACACCCTCTATTTTCTTTAATATTTCCACTGTCTTCATCCTGGTGCTTTTGACTTCCGATGGTCGTGAGGATTGCCTGGCCCACGAGCCCGGTACATGACCAGGGGACTTGCTTCACAGCGAGCAAGGAATGGGAATAAACTCACGGTCACGGGACGCACTGCTTGATATCGCATGTTGCACCTGGAGGCAGCCAGCCTCACAGAAGGCTGAAATGCCCTCTCAAAGCACACTCAGCCTGGCTGGAGTGGCTCAGTTGGTTATCATTCTGTGCACCAAAAGGTTGCTGGTTTGATTCCCAGTCAGGGCACATACCTAGGTTGCGGGTTTGTTTGATCCCTTGTCGAGGCACGTACAGGAGGCAACTGATCAATGTTTCTCACATCAATGTTTTTCTTGTTCTCTCTCACCCTTCCTCTCTAAAATCAATGGAAACATGTCCTTGGGTGAAAATTAAAAAAAGAAAGAAAAAGAGACTTTCTATGTCACTCAAGAAATGACTTATCAAGGGGTTCAAGGGAGAGCCTAGACCAAAAGTAGCCGGAAAACACCCTAAAGATTTACTTGGACAAGAAGTTGGGTAGATGTCTCCAGAGGAACTCTATAGAGATGTCTATAGTTCATGGCTTGTTGCCAATTACACGCTGTCTCCTCCTGTAAAGTCCTATAGCCACTTGGAAACTGGAAATTCCACACCTTCAGTAAATCAGGAACACTACCTGAATACCTCTTGGAAGCTTTCCTCCCTTGACCAGGCATTAAACAGGCACGAGAAGCCCAGAGTTCATGGTTTGGGGTACAGCAAAGGTAGAGCTTACCTCTCAAGGTCCTCAAATCCATAAAACTGTTAAGTTGATAGAGACCCAACCATGGCCCCTTACCCAGTCCACCTTTCTCTTTCAGCCACCCATGTTTCAGAGATGGCTAGGCCAAGGTTGCTTAGCTTTTCAAAAGAAGCTGTTAGGCTGGTCGGGAGACAAGCCAATCACAAACTCAGTCCCCATTCTGGATAGTCCTTTTTCCGCCTCCTCAGCTTTAAGCAAGGAAGGACAGAAGGCCCTGAGATATTGGTCATCGTTCACATAAGGCCCATGGTCCAAGGAAAAGAACAGACAAAACTTTTACCTCCTCACACCCATCCTCATGGATCAAGTATGGCAGAGTGGGACTGCATGGTAGGGGGAATAGGAGAGGCAGTCCAGAATCACTCCAAGTCAAACAATGGCAGGATATGACCCAAGCGATGAGAGTGGAGTTGTGTCCCATCAAACTCCAGCCATGAAAGGGCAGTGCCCCAGAGGGAGAAAACAGAGAGAAGTGTGTCTACGGAGTATCACCAGAGGGGAGCATCTTGGAATTTCCACTTTCAGTATAAGATGTTGGAGATTAATTTAGGGATCCCGTCAAGGGCCAGAGGCCAAGAAGACTGTCACTCCTAAGGCACAATTGGAAGATGTTCTGAGAGCAAGTGAACTGGGAGATGCACAGAAACTGAATGAGTGAGTGGTCAAGGGGCTCCAATGACCAAGGAATGCCTTCCAACCCAAAAGTGTTGGTTTCCCAAGATCTGGAATGGCCAAGTCTTAAAGAACTGCTTGCTGATTGAGACTCACATTGGAGGTAGAGCTGCAGAGCCAGCCTCAGGGTTTTCCCATTGAAATGTCCCTTGCCTCAGATGGCCTGCCTACTCCATTTCCTTGAATCCATAAATTTTAGGAGTTGATATCTTAATGATACCATGTTGTCCAATTCAGGAACATTGCAGATCTCTTCATGTATTTAAATCTTCATTTTCCCTCAGCAATGTAATTTTCTGTGTACAGATATTATACATATTTTGGTAAACTTTATCCAAGTATTTCATATTTTTATGTAAATGGAATTTTTATTTAAATTTCCAATTGTTCATTGCTAATATACAGAGATAAATTGATGTTTTTGACTTTATATTCTGTGACTTTGTTAAACTCATTAATTCTACTGGCTTTTTTGTTGATTCTTTAGCATTTTCTACATAGACATGTCATCTGTAAACAAGGGCAATTATATTTCTTCCTTTCCAATCTGTATGCCTTTTTTTTTCTTCTTGCATTACTGCATTAGCTAGAAACTCCAGCATAATACTGAATAGAAGTGGTGTGGACATCCTTGTCTTTTTTTTTTTTTTAAAACATATCTTTATTGATTTCAGAGAATGGAAAGGAGGGGGAGAGAGAGAGGTAGAAACATCAGTGATGAGAGAGTCATTGATCGGCTGCCTAGTCCGCAACCCGGGCATGTGCCCTGACCGGGAATCGAACCCGATCGCCTGGATCCTAGGTCGATGCCCAACCACTGAGCCACGCCCAGCCGGCTGACATCCTTGTCTTGATCCTAGAGTAGAAAGTTCAGTTGTTCACCATTAGGTATGATGTTGGCTGTAGGCTTTTTGTGGATGCCCTTTATCAGATTGATGAAGTTCCCTTGTATTCCTAGTTTTCTGAGACAAATGCTTTTTCTGCATCTATTGAGATGATCATATGGTTATTTTTTTTTAATGTGTAAATATGGTGAACTGCATTGACTGACTTAATGTCAAACCAACCCCACATTCCTGTGATAAATCCTACTTTGTCATGATGTATTCTCTCAGCCTCAATTCCTCCCCCAACCCAGGGAAAGCCTGAATCTCCAAATCTATTGACAGCCCTACTCCACTCCCACACACACAAGCTCTGCTCTGCAACCTGTCCTTCCTCCTAGCCTGCCCCACCCCCACCTCAGCATAACTTCCTTACCCAATGGGCATAGCTGATCTCCAGCTCCAAGCCTCCTCTTTCCTGCTGAATGAGCTCAGAGTTCCCATTCTGACAGTGGGAGTGCCAGCCCTGGGGATGCAGGGAAAGTGATCCCTACCAGTCACACAGACCATGAGCTCACTAAATGCATGTAGACAGAGAACCAGTGGGTGGAGCTGATGAGTGAGTGGATCCTGCAAGCACAGACCCATCCATTAGTCCAGATTGGACAAACTGCACAGCTTTGGCGAGTACTGGGCTAAGGTGCTCTCGGAGGCTCAGCCCTCTGCCAGCAACACCATGCGCATGGGTGCCTGTCTTCTGCCCAGAGGCACAATGTGTTATCCAAAACCCTGTCTCTGGATGAACAGAAAACGGCAGCGCACCCTTGGGGACAAACTACCCAGGCCCAGACAGTTTACTTGCCCCAAACCAGCTCAGTTCCACAGCCAATGTGTGAACTGGGTGGGTTCTGGTTCGGGAATCCACACATGATGTTCCAGGAAAAAGTAAAAATGTCTTCATTTACCACCAAAAAAAAAATTATTTGGGGGATGGGGGAGGAAGGAGGATATATAGTTATGTATTTAGATATATAAATCTAACTTAAGTTAGAATATTTTACTGTCCTTATGTACCATGTATAAAAACATATGTTCATGATTAGAAAAAAATCCCCAATATATTGAAGAGAATAAAATGAAAAGTTCCCTTCCCCAATGAGCCCCCAAAGATCACCTCCCAGAGGCAATGAATGTTAGCATATTTTTGTTTACCCTTCTAGAAATTCTCTATATATGTGTAATATGGATTTGTATAACCTTGTTTTACACATATGAATAGGGCATCATAAGACATACTATTTATATTGTATTTATATTGTATTTTCTCATATAGATACATGACTAAATCCTTTTAAAAAATAGTCCCTGACTTAGAAACATGTGATAACCCCAAAACTTAATTTGTGAATAACCTTTCAGGAAGGAACTCAAAACACCTTTTCAGAGAAATAATGTTCTACATCAAGGTCAACAAATTTTTTCTGTCAAGGGTCAGGTAGTAAAATATTTTCAGTTTTGTCTCTGAATATTTTCAGTCTCTGTCATATGTTCTCTGGAATTTTTTGGTTTTGTTGATGATCTTCTTTAAACATAAAGACCAATCTTAGTTCTTAGTCTGTACAAAAGCAGGCTGTGGGTCCAACTTGGCCTTCATACTATAGTTTGCTGACCTGTTTTAAATAGTGGTTAGGCCCCCAGCTTAGGTCCCAAAAGCAAAATTAACCCATAATATGTTGCTAAGATACCAAATTAGATAATATATTTAAAATTGCTTTTTAAACCATGTCTATACTTGTGTGAAGAATTATTACAGTTCTTCAGTGTTTAGCATGTGGGTAATTTATTTATTTTTATTTTTAATCCTTACCAGAGGATATTTTTTTGCATTGCTTTTCAGAGAGAGTGGAAGGAGGAGAGGGAGAGGGAGAGGGAGAGAGGGAGAGAGGGAGAGAGGGAGAGAGGGAGAGAGGGAGAGAGAAATGTCACTGTGAGACACATCAATTGGTTGCCTCCAACATGCACGGATCAAGCCTGCAACTGAGGTACATGCCCTTGGCCAGAACTGAACCTGGGACTCTTCAGTCTGCAGGCTGATGCTCTAATCACTGAGCAAACCAGCTAGGGCATGTGGATAAGTTTTTAAAATAAAAATTGTTAATACTAAATAAAAACATTTTATATATTTTGAATTTCATAAAGAATTAGTGAAGAATCTGAACGGAATTCTCAAGTAATTTACCAGGCAGAAGAGGTAGATAACACTATTGTATCTGATCCTACCTTTTGCATCACACAACATAAACACACACTGACTCAAATTTGGTTTGTGTGGTGTGAATTCACAGGCCAAGTGGCCCCATACATCAAAAAACAGAGTGTATCACTAAGTTTTTGCTACCCGTAGGCACTAAAAAGGCTTTTCTTACGCTTGTTATGCACAGTCACACGCACTGACCCAAACCTTGAATCCTTGGTGAGCTGCACCTGCTGGAAGCTATAAAGGCAGAGAAGGGGCAGAGTGGAATAGAGAGGATGCTCAAGAGTCATTTCTAACTATCTAGATTAGGAACCTTATTTTTCTCAATGAAAAAAATTCTCTATTACAGTTCATTCAGCTTTAATCCTTATGACCTGCCCCTTTTCTGTCACAGAGGTTGAACTCACCTTATTATATTTTTCACACCATTATTACAATTTTATTTTCTTATTAAAAGTGCAGAGATTTTCCTGAAATGTCTGGGCTGAAACCATGAAAGTAGATAGAAGAGAAAGGGCACTAAAGAGGATCATGTGTGAGAAAGGGACTGAGCTGGTGACTGCATGCATGGGCAGTGGAGGCGGTTTGTGTACATGTGCAACCCCAGGAGATAAAGTCGGGTGGGAAGAAGTTGCCTTGGGCCTGTGGCATAATGTCAACTGGGTCCTTAAGGTGGGGGCACTTTGTGATATCTGCCTTAGCAAAACATCCTATAACTTGCTGAAAGCAGTCCTTTTAAAAAATATATACATTACATACATTTCTGTAATACAAAAAAGAAAACAGAGGCATCTATATACATTGGATTTTAGGGACCCCTTGATTCTCCTGAGTCTGCTTGTCCAGCTAGGTAGCTGGAGCAGAGTGGCAGAGAAAGAGTGTTAATGATTATAGGCCCCATAAAATGTTACCTAAGTTTACTGACTATTAAAGAATTTAGAAAATATTCTCCCAAGCATTATCCTTGTAACAGCTCTGTAAGGTCAGGGAATTGGAGATGGATGCAGTGACTTGCCCCAGATCACACAGCTAGCACAAGGCAGAGCAGAAACCAGCACTTGAAGCTTCTGAGGCCAAACTCAGTGTTCTCCACATCTCCACCCTGCTTCCCAGGAGCTTCCATGCATATCTGGTGGGAATGGGCGTTTCTGCCTTTATTCCTGTCTGTTCTTCAGTTAGTGGTCGGATTCCCATGAACATGACTCTAAGTAAAGTGTCCTGTGCTTAGTAAACATATGGAATGGCTGACCCTCAAATAAACTAGCATGGTTTGCTGAGCATCTACCTCTGCACTGGCAGAGGCAGTTGAGCCAAGCTGGGGAGGGAGCCAACTCTGGGGTCAGAATGGGTGGGTTGACATCCTCAATGCATGCTGACCAGCTGTGTGAGTTCGAGCGTGTGACTTAACCTCTGATCAGTGTATGAAAAGCACATAGCCCAGTGCCAAAGACATCATAAAAGTTCCATAACTGACACAGATTTCATTATTATTGAGCTCTTGTCTGCCTTCTTTGGGACCATATCATAAAAAGAAAACTATCACAAGAGGAAAATTCATGTTGACTTCATTTTTTCTTTTTCAAAGAAAAAAGTCACAAACATGTAAACAGAATGAATGCCTTGTACACACACGCTTGTAGGTTTGGCTAATGAGTCTTCCTGGTTGTGTCTAGACTCTGCATGCTGGAATAATGCACTGCACCCCTGAAGCCAAGCTCCAACTTAAAAATTTTAAAAATGTCACTCATCCTTCTAATCTCTTCCTATATGTGATAGGCAAGCATCAACATCTCTTGTGGAAATTACTGTTCTGGAAAGCTGGGGTAGGAGGGCAGAAAACCTAAATTACCTTAATAGCTTGAACTCCTGGAGTGTATCTCCAAGCTAGTGAAAACAAACAGCTATCAAGGGCTCCACCTACAGGCACCAAAAAGGAAAGACCGCATTTAAGGTAGATACCATTTTTGCATAGAGAATTGTGACCCTTTCTTTTGAAAAAGTTTCCAAGATGAAAAAAATAAACGACTTGCTTAAAACTATTTCGATTTCTGAGGGATGGAAGTTAAGGACCTAGAGATCCAAAATTCCTCACAAAAGGACACTGGGGTACTCAAGGATTGGGGAGGAGAGAGGTTTCCAAAATGTTATATGAGAAACAGTTGAAGAAAACAGGTGTTCACATAAGAGAGGACTGAAGGATGGGAAGCTGGAATGAAATTAGCCTGATGCTATGTGGTCCCAGTAGAGGGTGGAGTTATCAGAGAACAGACTTTATCTCATATAAAAGAAGGATATTTTAATAATGAGCACTGTCCATATATAAGGAGGACAGAGGTGAAGGATCTTCATTGAGGGTTTTAAGCAAAGGCTAGAAGGTCAAACACTAAGAATATTGAAGAGACTGGTGAGCTGGCAGAGAACTAAGCTCGATTCCATTTAGGATTTTAGTTTTAAAAGTTTGAGAATATATATTAAAACCCCAAACAACTGAACAGTCCTCTTGCTAGAAGGCTGATTGGTATTGTCCTCACACTTATTTTTTCCATATTAAGTAACATTTTGTGCTTCAAGCTCTGATTCAGTCTCAAAATCATTTTAAGAGAAAAACATCAGCCAAAATTTAGGATAGATTATACCACTGTCAACTTCCAAGTTTTAACATTATACTATAGTTATGTAGGAGGTTATCACAACTAGAAGCTGGGTGAAGGGCACTTGGGGCTTTGCACTATTTTTGCAACTTCTTGTGACTCTATTATGATCTCAAAATAAAAATCTTTTAAAAATGAAATGAAAGATACTGCCCCAAGAGGTCCTAAGTAACCTCAAGGCAACCCAGTTTGATTCATGAGTGCTGTGTCATCAGCCACAAATGACTCTGTGCAAGAATGTGCAGGCAGCAGGGCTCATTTCAAAACATGATCAATCATTTATAAAGATTTACAATTGTGATTAGGAAAGTCTATGTCATGCTTACAGGCGTCTAATTTGGTTACACGGATCATAAACCTTGTTATCTGAGATCACATCAATAAAATCACCTATAGGCAATATATTCTTACAACTGCTTCCTACGCGATAGGTGCTACACAGGAACCAGGTACATACAGACTTAATTACTATATTTATCTAACTGTAATGCAATAATGTCCTTATGTCTTCTTCCTCCACTATGATTTGCAAAAACTGCATCTTATTCATCTCTTTTTATCACCAAAACCTAACCCAATAGACAGTCATAGAATAAATAAGAAACCAGTAATTGAGTTATTTTCTTAGACCTCTGGGGGTGATTTTCTTTTCTTATACTAAGAAATCTGAGACTCTATTTTGGAATTGGGATTAAATATATATACTTATGTCTGTGTGTGTCTGTGTGTGTGAACGTGAGACAGTCGCTGAAGCACAGGGGTTTAATCTCTGAAGATCTTTATAATCACTTGTTTTTGGTTTGTTAGTTTCCTAAGATATAGTAACTCAGTTTGATTTAGGATAACATAGAGAGGTCAGGCTTTTCCAAACAGGAAAACCCATATGCATTGTTGAACAGGTCCTCTCAGCTTGAAAGCCCCTGCTAAAATGATCTCTGCCCAATTTTATCAAGTGCCAAGAACAATCAGCTTCTTTCAGAAATCACTGAGACAGCATCATTTTGGATTCTTCAATATTAACAAATCAAGAAACATATGACAATTTCTTTAAGTTTTATCTCTTGATTTATTAAAATACATTTTCAAATAAATATTATGAACAACTAAAATCAATCAAAGCAGTGAGACCACAAAGTGTTGCTTTTAGCTTGTACGAAAAATCTACCAGTCATAACCAAAGTCAAAAAGGCTGTCTTAAAGATGTGATGGAAGCTACTTACAATCCCAGAGACACCAAGGACTCTGCAGGGTCAGTTATCTGAACAGGCTCAGAAGCCGGCTTGATCCTTAGAACCTCTGCAAAGCCATCACCAAACCAGCAAGTGATGTGTGCTATGTCTACAGTGAAGTAGAAAAGGCGGTCCTGGCAGAGCTTCCGTCGATATGCAGACCGAGGGTCGGCTGACAACACAGCCTCGATGGCACGCCTGGCTTCCTCTGCTGACTGAAAATACTTAAACGAAGCCTGACCAACATCTGCAATGAGAACACCACAACTTAATGCTCAAAATTACACAGGTCAAATTTTATTACAGTGAACCTCACTGGGGAGGTTACTTGGTTCCTTGATTATCACTTGAAATGAAGAGGGTTCAGAAACCTATCCAGTCATTAGAGTATCACCTTCAAGTGGTATTTAGATTGATACCTTTTCCTTCAGGAAGCCTTCAAATGTCATTTAACTTAGGTATTCCCCCAAATTTTCACTTCCCCTAATAGGAGAGCTGAGCTTTCATTTTCTGGCAACCTAAATGTCACTTTTCTATGTTCAATGTAGACTTCAATTCTTTGTCATTTTTTTTTAGGAGAAATGGAGGCAGGATCAGGGAAATACGCGACAGTCCCAGCATTCTCAGAAAGCCAAAAGAGAGAACTAAACCCACACAGGCCCAGAGCACTAGCTATAGGCAAGGGAGGATGCCTCAGAGAGCAGGTGTCACAGCCCCACAGGTAAGTAGCACCACATTCTCTAAGGAACAGGACATGAGAGAGTCCTTGTGAAAACCATGAAACAGATAAAGTTCAATGCTATCACTGAGGACAAGCCACCCCATTCCACCCAGGTGTGTATTTCAGGCAAATAGATGTTTACCCTGCCAAATGGCAAAACTTCCTGCATTTATAGCATTGTAAAAATAGACATATAAAAAATTAACTGTGACCTAATTTTTAATAACTTCAACATAACATACATCCAAATGAAGGCTAGGCCCTTCCAGAAAGGCATGTGCTTTAAACAATGTTGTCCCTGTTCAAAATATCATCTCGAGTGGTTGTGGGTTTCTATCCTTTTGAAAGTAAATTCAATTTTTAGAAAACAGCCAAGATTCATTCTGGGCCATATCCAATTAATAAGTTGATAAGTAAAGCCATGAAGTTCAATTTCTGGTCAAAAACCAAGGACCAATTACACAATGCTAAGATTACTTTGTTGCATGGTTCATAAAATGAACCACTCAAAACAGCAAAGTTCCAAAAACATACACA